GACGAGGATGCCGGACCTGGGTGGGCAGAGAGATGGTTGGCCCGGGGCAGCAGCCTGTCCCTGCGGGCAGCTGCTCAGGTGCAAAAGGTGGGTCAGGAGCCCTCCTCGCCCTCCCCTTCCCTCCCTGGCTCTCCTCCCACCTCCCCAGCCCTCCCCTTCATTGTCCCCTGCCCTGCCTCCACACCACCTCCCCTGCACAGGCCCAGGCTGAACCCTCACTTGGCCCATCTGCTCTGGGCCCTGGGTTCCTTCTGCTTACACCTGTCTCTCCTACGCTGGTGTCCGCAGTGACAGCGCAGTCCTGCGGACTCGGGGATTCCAACACCCTGTCAGGGGCCTCTTTCATGTCCTGCTTTATCTTTGAAGAAAGATAGGCACAGAGAGGTTAAGCAATTTGCCCAAGGTCACACAGCCAGCAGTGTGGCTCTGACCCAGGACATCTGGCTGCAGAGTCTGCACCCTGGCCCACCTGCCTCAGGCTCAGGGTGGCCTCTGGGACAACCCAAGACCTGTCCTCCTGGAGACAAGGATAGGCTAACCACCCACAGGCCCAGACCTCACCTGCCTATCCCCAGGACCTCTGCCTCCCTGGGCCTGCTGCCAACCCCGGTGCTTGGGGTAGGGGTTGCTTCCCCAGGTAGGGGGAAGGTGCCAAGGTAGGCGCCCTCCCACCCCCTTCTTCCTCTCCCACCCCGAGCCCTAGCAGTGCCAGACCCTGGGCTCTCGGGTGCCAGCTCTGGGGGGTCTGCAGAGATGGGGCCAGACAAGCAGCTGCCGAGCAGCCCTGTGCGGCACTGGCTGGGGGCAGAGCCAAGCCTCGCGCTGCCAGCCAGCTGACCTCTGCCCCGCAGAGGTCCTCGTACCTGGGCCACACAGGGCCCCTTACATGAGGGCACTGGAGAGGCTGCCAAGCCAGGGGGGCTGCAGTCCCTCTGCAGCAGGACCTGGTCAGTGTGCGCTGTCACAGGGCACAGATGGCAGCCCTGGAGCTGCAGAGAGGGCTCCACGGTGCTCGCTGGGACAGAGCCTGACCGGTCCTGAAAGCTCCAACCGCTGTAGCCTCTCCAGGAAATGGGGCTACTGCTGCACTGGTGTGGCTATCAGGAAAGGTTCTCGAAATGCCAGCATTGGGTGACACAGGTCACCCAGAGAACGCAATGTTGCCTTTTCCTTTCGGCACTCCTGGGCTGGGAACGCCCTCCGGCTCCACGGTTAGGCTCGCAGTTCCATCCTTGGCCTCAGAACACTCAGGGCGTCCTTCTAATTTAGAGTCAGAGCAGAGGTGGGCACAGGGGAGCCAGGTAAATCCATGAAGGATCCCTGGAGGAGGATACATACAGGACACAGAGCAGGAAAGCGTGGACATGCATTTGTAGCCATGCAGAGGGGTTTACCTGGGCCGACCTGGTATCCCATCACCCTCTGACGCTTCCATCCGGGATGAGGCCCCAAACCTGTGACTTGTAACAACCAGGAAGCCACAGTCATTCCCTGGAAAACTGCAACTTCATGTCGCTTCAGCTCAAGGCTGTGTGGAGGGTCAGGAGGCCCCAGCCCAGGCTGCCAGAGACTGTATGGGAAGGGGCCACAGCTTCCCTGCAGACCTTGGCGATGAGCTGGAGCCTCCGCCAGGCCAGCCTCCTGTCGGCAGAAGGCTGTGGCCAGGCCGGGCTGCTCAGGGCCACACGCCCACTGGGGCACCCACCCCCAGGGCCAGCCAAGGCCAGCAGCTGGTGTCATATCCCCCAGGGCCCCGGCCAGCTGGGCAAGGTACACGCTCACATGCCTGCCAGCCTCATCGGCATGCCCTGGGGTTTGCTAATGCAGCGAGATTAATCGGGCTCACATGTTAACGTGCCCACCTGCTGCGAAGCCCTGGGTGGGGACCAGGTCATCCCAGCAACCCCGCCACTAGTCAGACCCTGCACCAGACGCTGGCTCTGCTGCTCCAGAAACTGCAGCTTCAAAGGAACTTCACCTCCTGGCCCAGCCAGAGCATCCAGCTCCGGGAAGAGGGTCCAGGCTTGAGCACCCAGGGGTGTGAGCAGGCCCCTTGCAGACGCCACACACCCCGCTCGGCCCAGCCGAGGTCACCGCCAGCTCCAGGGGCCCCTGCTGTGAGCAGATGGGCCTCCGGGGGGATCGTCCATTCCCCGTTCGCCCTCTCACCCTCTGCCCGACCCAAGGGCATTCCCATGGTAACCAGCCGTCGGCATAAGCAGGGCTGCGTAGTGACAGGGTCCACTTGGCACCCTGTGTGCGAGGAGTCATGGCTGGGGTGCCGGGAGAGGGGGGCAGTACCAAGACCCAGGGGTGTCAGCCATTGTCCAGCCAGCCCTGGGTGCTGGCCTTCTGGACTGTCCTGCCCGATGTCACCACCCATAGCTCCTCCAACTCGCTGCCACCTGGGCCTCACCCTGGAGGGAGCCAGACCCCTGCTCTACGAGGCCAGTCGGGGCTCTGGAGCGCACACACTCTCGGGGGCTCTCCTCACCCCACACCCCTGCCTTCACCTTCACCCGGTGTCGCCACCACCAGGCAGCATGCCGTGCTCGGAGGTCCTGTCCCCACCCCACCCAGCCCCGCCCTCAGCTGCAGGGCTGCCTTAGGCTCTGCTCACAGTGCCTGGCCAGAGACAGGCTGGGGGCCTGCGGGGTGTA